TTCATCAAATATAAATTATCTAATTCTGTTGTATGCAATAATGGACATTGTTTTCCTACTCATTTCATAATGATAAAAGGACTAAGCCAAGCAGTAACACTTAGTATTCCTTTTCTTACTCTTTTATACCCAATCATAATTAATAATAAGGGAATAGAAACAAATATAGTAGGAGAAACAATAATATTTGAATTTGTGGATAAACCAAAATTTTAAAAAATAAACAGAGTAAAACGTAACATCAAACAAAAGGAAAATTTTATTTGTTCTTTAAAAGAAGAAATTAAATATAAATCAATAGAAGAAAAATTACAAAGTACTGAAATAAAAGAACAAATAAAGAAACTAACAAAACAAATAGAAAATGAAGTATGTAGTGAATTACTCAATGCTTTTTGGGAAAGAAAAAAGCATATAGTAAATTTACCATATGAATCCACTTTTCATGAATATAAAATTCCTACAAAAGCAAAGCCAATACAAATAAATACAAAATTATTAGAATTTTGCACGCAATAAATAGATGGATTAATGACCAAAGGATTAATTAGACCAAGTATCTCTCATTGGAGTTGTGCTGCCTTTTATGTTAATGAAAATGCAGAGCAAGAACAAGGAGTTCCAAGACTTGTAATAAATTATAAACCATTAAATAAGGCACTTCAATTGATTAGATATCCTATAGCAAACAAAAAAGATTTATTAAATAGATTGTTAAATGCTTATATTTTTTCAAAATTCGATTTAAAATCTGGATATTGATAAATCCAAATAAAAGAGGAAGATAGATATAAAACAGCTTTTAATGTCCCTTTTGGACAATATGAATGGAATGTCATGCCCTTTGGATTAAAAAATGCTCTATCTGAATTCCAAAGGATCATGAATGATGATTTTAATCCTTATTTAAAATTTATGATAGTATACATTGATGATGTCTTAATTTTTTCTGAAGATATACCACAACATATAAAACATATAAATGTATTTATCAATGCTGTTAAACATACAAGAGTAGTTGTTTCAGCAAAAAAGATGAGTTTATTTCAAACAAAAATTAGATTTTTAGGATACAATATATCTCAAGGAACAATCATACCCATAGATAGATCTATTCAATTTATTGATAAATTCCTAGATATTATATTAGACAAAAAAAAACAACAAAGATTTTTAGGATGTCTTAATTATATAGTAGATTTTTATAAAAACCTAGCAATAGATGCAAAACCCTTATATGATAGACTAAAAAAGAATCCTCCCAAGTGGACTGATATTCATACTGAAGCAGTTAAAAAACTTAAACTTAAATCTAAGGAATTACCCTGTCTTTCAATTTCAGATCCAGATGCTTTTAAAATAATTGAGTGTGATGCATCAGAAATAGGATTAGGAGGAATCCTTAAAAAAAGATGTAATTCCCAAAATCAATTAGTAAGATATACATCTAAAACATGTAATTTTACTCAACAGAATTATTCCACTGTTAAAAAAGAAATTTTAGCCATAGTTCATTGTGTTACTAAGTTTCAAAGTGATATTTTAAATATTACATTTCATTGTAGACATAATAATAGAAGATATCCATATGACTGATGACCCAAAGACAATAGCCTGATATTATCTATGTAACAATCTTAACCCTTCTTATGGTATAAAAATCAGAGAATGATTTGCGATGCTTCTCCTCGAAACAGGCTCTGATACGAATTTACGCCAAGATCATCAGTATATTAGTATATCTAGGATATTTTAGATTGTTAGCATAAAAGTAGATTAAGGGATGATCTTGGCGTAAATTGGTATCAGAGCCAATCCCGTATAAGAAACTTCTAAGTTATTATTCCAAGGAAATTATTAATTTGA